GGTGGGGTGGGGTGTGATAACGTTCATGGAACTTGCGTGAAGGGTTCGGGTGGGGTGGGGTGGGGTGGGGTGTGATAACGTCATGCTACGCTAGTGTGTTGTCTCTTGTACTTGTCACGCATACGGCAAGCTACGCTAGTGTGTTGTCTCTTGTACTTGTCACGCATACGGCAAGCTACGCTAGTGTGATGTCTCTTGTACTTGTCACGCATACGTCAAGCTACGTTAGTGTGATGTCTCTTGTACTTGTCATGCATGAGTCCTGCTACGCTACTGTAAGTTATCTTGTACTTGTCACGCATACGTCAAGCTACGCTAGTGTGATGTCTCTTGTACTTGTCACGCCTGAGAGAGAAAATAAGACCTGACTCAACGCAATGGGACACTATGCTGATCCGCATAGTCTTGCCATCAGAAAAGAAATCTGTTCATATAAAATGAGATAGAAGTACATCTTCGTAGGGTTCTGTGTTCCACGCAGCACGGGGGGGATTGCGGGTGGCACATGCCTGCTGCGTGCTTGAGGTTGGGTGACCCAGATGGGACTTGGCCGCGAACGATTGCGGCGTTTGTGGCGGAACACAAATAATGATTTATCCCAATCAAGCAAAATGTATCGGTATCCTAACATAATGTACCACCATCGTTATATTTTATTTTAATGTTCTACGATGGTATCTTGTTGCATAGAATAACATTTGAATTGGTCGGGTTTGTGCCTTCTATAGTGGTTGATATGTCTTGTACTAATGCTTTTGTATAAAAACAGAAAAAAACAGCTGACTGTCAGCATTCGGAACTTTTGATGCTATGCAAAAACACTGTGAATTACCAATGAAAAACAGCATCACATCAAAATACCTGTGGAAACACAGTATATTATACCCTTTTCCAATGATCTTTGATATAAAACAAAAAGTCCACCTCGTAATTCCAATGGAGAAAATGAGAGCACCAAAAAAACAAAAATGTGAGGGTCCATAACTGACTTCAACTTCGACGGACGAAAAAAAATTTGATCCGTAATTAAAAGACACCAACAATGAAAAGAACAACATGAAAAATCTCCATTTTACCACAGTGAAACACTGTTTTTTCTCCAATTCAATGATCCTGATTGACCTGGTAAAAAATGGCTCATTGCTATGGAACATGGCATACATGGCCCATTCAGATCCATTAGATGACTTTCCTTTGAAAGTCATGTGATGTTAGCCATGTGAAATTACAAGAGGCTAGGTTTTGTAGAAGTGAGTTGATATGATTGAAACACAGATGAAGGTTACACACACACACTATTTAATGACACCTCTTTACTGTGTACCCCAAGATGTGGGTAACTGAATGTGCCGCATCATCCCGCATTCCACTTGCCATCCATGTCTCTTTCTCTGGTTGGCTTGTTGCGTGGCTGCACAGGGCATATCACCCAGCAAAACAGCAGTCCCATTCTTCTACTTTTTACCGTATTCCTCGTTTTGGATGTTTTGCCGGAGCCAGAGTCAACTTGCACCTCATCAGTTCATTTTATATGAAGTGTCACCAAAAATGGCAAGGGTGAGACAGAGAAAGAGGGAGGGATACTAAAGATTATCAAGCAATATTAAGCAGATGTTTCATACTAAGAATTCCCATGACCATTGGTCGACAAATATTATATTATTCTATATGTATTCTCATTCCTATTCATATGTATAATATACTCATCATATTCCCATGGATATTCCCAAACGACTTAGTGATAACCATCCAAGGCTCATACTGCCGCGCTCCCAGGGCACTTGCCCGTCCTTGGCTGATCATTCCTGTTTGAAATAGCCATAACATTTTGGGTAAGTCTCCAAATTTTAGATAACCCCCGCCTCATATCCATAATGTATTTAGTTACATACTATAATTACATATATGTATATATATATACTATATATGTAATTATATGCAAATATCCATCGTTCAGGATTAGTTGCTTTTAATCTGTTTTAATCCCCAATTATATAGCGTGAAATTTCTATTCTTGATCGTTGAATAATCCAAGTTTGATTGTGCAGTAGTTGGTTTTACTCCCCCAAGCAATGTAACATACCTGATTTATTGTTCGATCACATTTGGATGCTTTAAACATGTTCCGTTTAGTGTAAACATTGCAAATCCTAGCTATCCCGCACAAAGTTTCCTCTTTCAGCTGGCTGCTATCAAAAAAACATCTACCTTTCACCAGCAGATTCCAGTGAATGGATTGCCTTTCGGTAATTAGGAACGTGGCTGGCTGGGAAATCAATGGAAAATGATGGAAAATGATGGAACATGAAGGCGTGATTTTATTGCTCATCCGAAATTTTGATCGTGAAATCCAATATCTTTCACCAGTTAATGCCAACTCCGAATTCATAAATCCCTGGTTGATTACATTTCCCGCATCAGTGGCGAACAAAAATCCACCTTTTCCACTATCCGACATGTATGTATATAAATATATATACATATATACATACACATCCATTATATCATCACTTGTCTTGGTGAAGTGAGCATGTTTTGCTTAAATTTCCTTGTTTGCTTCTGAAAAATGGTCATTTTGCATGGTTTGAAACCTCAACTTTTTGCTGCTCAAACCATGTTACCCTGGGCTAAACATGGCTAAACTAACATAGATGTGGAAAACCGATGGTCTCCGTGGGAAAATGATCTACGAATGGCCGGTTTTCCACATCTATGTTAGTTTGCCGGAGGGTAATCACACTTTTTTTCTCATGAAATACGTTTTTTAATGGTGAAATCCAATGCTTTTATATAAATGTGTTTGTTTAAATGGTGACATCAACTAATATATTTAAGCTGTTTTTTTTCTATCTTAACCCCTGCTATTTCATGACATTTTTTCCTGCTAAAATAGCACCCATAGGCCACATCCTGCCTCACCGGCCAGCAGCATGGCGTTCCAAGGATCCCAGCTGCTGGGCCCATACTTTCGCTTCAGCGCGCGTCCGGAGCCGGGACCCGGGTCCACTCGCTCCACCTACGAAGGTATGCAAGCTGGCAGAAATAGCAGATCAATAAATCAAGAAACACATGTGTATATGTTGAAATATAGGGTTATTACATGTTATTACATCGTATTGTAAAAATAAACATATACATATAAATATATATAAACAAATATGAATAAATATACATAAAAACATAAAATAAACATAAACACATATTTTAAACACATAAATAAATATAAATGGAAAAAAACAACTGCAAACAAATATAATTAAAAAACAAACATAAATAAATTTAAATAAACATAAATATAAATATATATAAGGAATATATATATATACATATACATAAATAACATCTTTTATTTAGTGTGCATGTGCAAACTGTGTGCACACATTTAAACTCAATGTTTCTGGACATCCATCTTGCTAAACATAAATATAAAATAATATACACATAATTGTAGATACTGGAGTGCAAACCTAGTATCTAAACACGTTGATAGCTACCCGAGAGCAGGTCCAGATCATCATCCCCCACTTCTATTGATCTTCTATTGGTTCAACGCCATAGTTTTCATATTTTCAATATTTTTTCACTGTTTTTTACTTTTTTTTTTCATTAATATTTGTTCATTGGCTCATTTTGGTTCATGTTGGTTCGTACCCCCCAGATCCCACCTGTATCAGGGGCGCTTGCAACTTGGCGGTCGCTGCCACTGCAAAGCCCTTCGAGCTCTTCGCGCTCTGCAGCCGGAGCCATCGAGCTTGGACAGCCATCAGCGTAGGATACAGACCTATCATGACTAACATGGCTGGATTCCCTTAAAAACAAACAATTAGGGCCATTAGGGTATAGTAACTATAGTAGGATGTGAACTATTCCGAATGTTTTGAGTAGAACTGAATCAAACTACCAAACACACTGACATGGTTTCACCGCCAGGTGTTGTGACTTTCAGCGGACATGTGAGGATGTGTTTGTCGCATTTCGTTCGGTGCTGCGCATGCTTTGGACAGGATACTACATGTTGCAGTCCCCTTGAGCAGAATATGGAGTCACCAGCAGAAAAACGAAACTGCAAAGCCAGTACTTCAACTTTGACTTGAAGAAGCTTGTAAACCCAGTGGAGCTTCAACCTTGTTTTTTCCGAGGCGTTAGTTAAACATCGAGTGCTTTAAACACTTCGTGGATTTAGACCTCTGCTTGTTGCCACTTATATCAACTAATATTAACCAGTTTTGCTTGGCTGCATCAACTAGTCAACTAGTCTCTCTATGTTATTTTTCTTATATTGCGCATGTTCATGGACTTACTCAAGTATTCCATCCAAAATGGGACCACCAAAATAGGTCAGCTGGCTTGGTTGATAACTAGGCTAACGGCTAACGATTGGACTCATGGTGGATATACCTATACTTAATGGGGGTTGTAAACGAACAAACATAACTGGGGGCAGCACCTTGTACAATATATATATATAGCCCATTATGTCCCTATTGCGTCAACATTTTGATTGCTTAAATCCTCGTTATTCCTACAGTTAAAGCCCTTCACCATTATGTTCACCAGACCATAGCTTATTCAAGAATCAACAAACTTGAAAAAAACGAGACAAATGCAAAACAAACATTAGAATAAGCTATCGAGGAGAACATAACTTTACCAGTTATTTCCCAGTGTTGCTAATTTCTGTGGCTTCCACAACGACTTCACCATTTTCCCTCCACCAAGGCACTGGAATAGTTCACCACCGTGCCAAGGCACGCCTAGGCGTTTCCAGCGAAATTCGGGAGTTCTCCGGTTGCTTTAACACGCCGAAAAACATCCGTTGATTTGGATATATTAATGGGATATGTTTTGGGATATATTAATGGGATATAATGGGGTAGAATGATTGGGATACTTTGGGATGATTTCTGGGGATATATTCCTATAGTGATTCCAATATACTTATAATACATCGATATATTGGCATGGGATGTAATGGGATAATCAATCATCAGTGACAAAAGACTGTACATATCAAATTAATATTAAAAACAAATCCACAAATTGTGGATGATCTACCGCTTCCGATTATCTATTGCCACATGATATAACAGGACATTTAAGACACTTTTTTTAAGTAAATTGGAGGTACGGTACCTACCCTCTGGTAAACTAACGTAACTATGGAAAATCACCATTTTTAATGGGTAAATCCACTATAAATAGCAATTTTCAATAGCTATGTTAGTTTACCAGAGGGTAAATTCTGTAAGGTCCATGTATGGAATATATCAGCCCAACAGGCCTGGCCTGATATGGCTCAGTCCCTCCACGCTTCGTACCGTTCCAGGGGCTATTCAATCCAACTGGCTGTCCTGATGGCGAACTGGTGATCATAACTGGAATAAGTAACCCATGCAATATTCCAGCTATCATGGGCCATAAATGGTCATAACATGTCATATCCCAGCTATCAACTGTTTCAGCATGATAATGGAACATGTCAGCAAGGCGTCCGGAATTGAGACCTTGGGGCTGTGTACCAGCCCAACAGAACTGCACCCGTATGCCAAGCCAGGTTGCCGCAAAAAGGAAAAGGTGAGGGTACCTGGGTGCAAGACTGGTATCTGCGAAGGGTCACCAAGGTTGACTGAATAGCATGAGTGCCGCATTCTTGTGTACGTCATGTTAGCCTTTAATGGCAAGTCTGAATGGGTACGCGTGCAGCCTATATAGACTGTAGCCACGAAAGCTTCCACTCGGAATTCCGCCAATGTCCTAAGGAAAGGAACCAATTCCTCTACAAAATATATATTTCTTACAGTAGTGTAGAATCTGATGCCGCGTGTGTTTCCATTTGGGCACCCCTAGCACCAAATTGGCCAACTAGGAAAAAACAACCAATGCTGAGCCGGGGTCCAGGACAGGATACTATTGCAAAAAGCACTGTGAGGACAAGAAGTATGCCATATGTATGTTCAGAGTACACTGTGTATGCAGAAACCAGATTGTCCTGTTTAATTGTATATAACTTTATCTGTGAATCTAAATGTATGCATTTTCACAAATACCTAACGAACACTAAACAAATACGTATGCAAATCACATAAGTATATATATATATATATTACTTATATATATATATATATAACCTATATGTACATAAACATGGATTGTCATATCTATAGCAAACCCCCCCAAAAATGAACAGTTGGAAACCTGGAAAATATGATGGGAAACAGCATCGAAACCATCTTGGAAACGCCGTTCTATTCATGTGGGGGGTTTACAATAATGTTCTATAAGCGTTGTCATCTCGCCATTGCCCGTGGACCTTAGCGCTAAGCTCCCGTATCACGAATCAAGCTGCTCGATGACTTTGCTCAAGGCCTTGCGATGTTCGAAAAATTGAGATTTCGCCATCAATCCATCCTGATTTCCTTTTGGATACAACCAATGTATCCAACAAATAGGTATACAATGGGTGTTACAATGGGTGTATGATATAATTCGATATATGCGAGTCAATCATCAATATGTGTTTTGTAATTCACGGAGTAAAATCAGAATTTACCCAACGAACATTGGGGATTTAACCAACAAAGTCAACAAACAATGTGATGTCACCATCAAAAATGGCGATGTAATGGGATCCAACCAACAATTTTTTACAGTGGGATAACATCATGCCAAAAAATCACTGGGATTTCATCAACGAACTTGGAGTTGGCAAATTCATCAGGATTACGATATGTATATATATGTATATATATGTGTATGATTGTGTATATATATATATGTGTATGAAAAAACAAATATATATATATATATACGCCAGGGACGCTAAGTTCTCCGAAACATCACGTTTGTGTTCGATTGGAAATGTATAAAATTGTGTTTTCGCTATGGCAGCCGCTATGGTAATTTGCACATTCTTGAACACTGTCTATCTTCTGCACAACGTCATGTTTGACGGACGATTTTTGTTCGGTTTGTTGAAGTACAAAATGCATTCTTCATTGATGCCTCTAACCTGGAATTCGTCATTTTCTTTGTTTGTCTTTTTGTGTTTTTTGTTTTAACATGTTCATGTTTACATGAAAAATGATCAAATTCATTGGGAAACGCCGGTCCAAATGAAAGAGGGCGTTTTGTATTGGTATTTGCAGTATTCTCTAACGTTGTGAACCGAGCCACGTGTTGATAGTCAGGTTCTTTTTGTCGTTGTGTTTCATGTATATTTCTTTAGGGAAAAATGTTCCGTCTGCAAAGTCTTTTTGACATTCCCACGGCGCGTTTGAAAATGGAAATAACATCTAGCATCAAACATATATCCATACGTCTTTAAAACTACATACATATATGCGAACAAAAAACATGCATGCATACATACATCCATACATACATAAACACATACATGCATTTCCTTACATTACATAACAGTACATTACATTACATTACATTACAGTACATTACATTACAGTACATTACATTACATTGACATACCATAACCATACCAAACCATACCATACATGCATACATACATACATGCATACATGCATAACATAACATAACATAACATAACATAACATAACATACATAACATAACAAAACATAACAAAACATTACATAACATTGCAAAACATTACAGGACACTACAAAACATTACATAACATTGCAAAACATTACATAAAATTACATAACACTACAGAACATTACATAACATTACATAAAATAACATTGCATTACATTACATATCATTACATGACATTACATGACATTATGTAACATTACATTACAGTACATTACATTGCATACATACATACATGACATTCACTACATTACATAACATTACATAGCGATACATAACGTTACATGACATTACATAACATACATACCATACATACCATACATACCATACATACCATACATACCGTACATACATACATACATACCATACATACATACATACAATACAATACACTATACTACACTACAATACAATACAATACATACATAACATGCATAACATACATACATACATACATTACATTACATTACACTACACTACATTCCATTACATTACATTACATTACATACATGCATACATAACATAACATTACATTACATTGCATTACATTACATTACATTACATACATACATACATACATACATACATTACATACCATACATACCATACATACATACATACATACATACATACATATCATACATACCATACATACCATACATACCATACATACCATACATACCATACATACCATACATACATACATACCATGCATATCATACATACCATACATACCATACATACATACATACATACATCCAATCCATACCATACATACCATACATACCAAAGATACATTACATACATTACATACATTACATACATTACATACATTACCTACATTACCTACATTACATAATACATTACATAATACATTACATACATTACATACATTACATACATTACATACATTACATACATTACATACATTACATTACATTACATTACATTACATTACATTACATTACATTACATTACATTACATTACATTACATTACATTACATACATACACACATACACACATACACACATACACACATACATACATACATACATGCATGCATGCATGCATACATACATGCATACATACATACATACACACATACATATATACATACATTTTATTACATTACATTAAATTAACTTTGCGTTGCATTACATTACATGCATACATATCTGCCGAGAGGCCTGGCCTATCCATTGACACCTCACCCCACCCCATATAGTGACGTAGAACATCCTCAGCGTAGCATCACATGTGTGCCGATGTGACAGTCAACGTGCACGTGCGTACCATCACACCCCACCCAACCCCAGCCCAGTCCGCCCCAGCCCACCCTATCCCATCGAAGAAGTTGTAGCCCCCTCGGGCATATATTATATACCCTCCCGAACAATTTCCCCCACAATCCAGTGGCATATCATCATTTTCCTCATGCTAGTAGCAGTTGAAGGGGACCATCCTATTTTTCGACATGGAGATACATATTGGAGAAATAACCAACTAGCATTGATGATTGATTGGCTCTCCAGTGGCGTCTCAGCAAAAAACTGGACACATGGCCGATTTATCCTTCAACTTGAAGATTTATGATCATTCAACCATCAAACATGTGGATTTAAGCTACGAATAACCAACAAAGCTGGGGGAATAACGGATACAATATCCAAATATCTCTCTCTCTCCATCGCCATCTCCAAGAGTCTCAAATATATCTAACAATATTGATCCAGAAAATTTGGATTTCATATGATTCAACCATCAGCAATCGTGGAACCAAGCATGAATCATGGGCGAGTCAACCGCCAACACTCCGTTGCCACACTGAACTCCTTGCAAACTAATAAATTACAAATTTTGCCCGTTCAATCACATTTATTCCCAAAAGTTTTCTGGCTAAATCCCGTTAGATCCCCATGATCTCTCCATGAAATCCCGAGCAGAGCGCGACGCCTCGATGCTCAGCACGTCTTGTCCTTCGATGGTGAGGGAGGCCACTAGCAGGGCCAACGACACGGTCGGCGCTAACACGTACTGTCCTCCGCTACAGCTCGGGGACTCTGGGAGGATGTGACACCATGACAAAATGCTATTGAAAAGCAATGAAAACCACCGGGTTCTCATGGGCAATTGGGAATTGCCATCAAAAATGGTGGTAATATGTTTAACTAACTACTACGGGAGACCCATCATAATGAAGCGTCTCATCACCAAAACTATTGATTTCAACGGCGAACATTCAACCAGCAAAAGTCTTGGTTTGAAAAAAACAAAACGAGGATTTGACCAACACATGATATGCGCATTTTACCGGAAAATATGGGAGTTGATGAATGATTTTTTTAGTATCTGTTCAAGGAAAGTGGGGGGGGACTTGGCCAGCACAAATTGACGATGCGACCCAACAAATGTATACAAATGTGGACTTAAACTTATGTCCCATCTTAATCGGAATGGAAGCTACACACGTGAAAGGGCTTAAGCAGCAAAGACGCGTACTTCAACAAACAACAGTTTCGGATTTAACCAACAAAATGAATTTCATCAACATTATTCTTGGGTTTCCAATCTTCCCAGTTGCTTTGGGCAAGATCCGCCGGAAAGCAGCAGGTGATACAGTACCATCTGCTGTCATGTGGCTAGTGGCTGTGGTTGTTCAACGGGAAGGCTCCCTCTATAGAAACAACCAATCAGTGGGACAAGGACGACGCCCCTACCCATACCATCCAATACATCCATGTAATTTTAGATGGTACCTAATGACTTTCAAATGACGGTGTCACGCATGGTTGGATGGATCCAGATGCAGCCAAGATCCTTCGGTAACTGAAAATTTACCTGGAGCAAAGCAAAGTTCACGAACAGTAGCAGGAAATGTGTGAGTGAATGAATGAATGAATGAATGAATGAATGAATGAATGCATGTGCATGAATGCATGAATGCATGAATGCATGAATGCATGAATGAATGCATGCATGAATGAATGAATGAATGATGAATGAATGAATGAATGAATGAGAATGACTGACTGGCTGACTGACTGACTGACTGAATGAATGAATGAATGAATAAATGCATGAATGAGATGAACGGATGAAAGGATGAAAGGAAGGAAGGAAGGAAGGAAGCAAGGAAGGAACGCAGGAACGAAGGAATGAATGAACGAATGAACGAATGAACGAACGAACGAACGAAGGAAGGAATGAATGGAATGAATGGAATGAATGGAATGAACGGAATGAATGGAATGAATGGAATGAATGGAATGAATGGAATGAATGGAATGAATGGAATGAATGGAATGAATGGAATGAATGGAATGAATGGAATGAATGAATGAATGCATGAATGCATGAATGCATGAATGCATGAATGCATGAATGCATGAATGCATGAATGAATGAATGAATGAATGATCGAATGAATGAATGAATGAATGAATGCATGGATGAATGAATGAATGAATGAATGAATGAATGATCGAATGAATGAATGAATGAATGCATGCATGCATGAATGAGTGAATGAATGAATGACTGAATGACTGAATGACTGAATGACTGAATGAATGAATGAATGAACGAACGAACGAACGAATGAATGAGATGAACGGATGAAAGGAAGGAAGGAACGAAGGAACGAATGAATGCTCATGAATGAATGAATGAATGAATGAATGAACGAATGAATGAATGAATGAATGATTGAATGAATGAATGAGATGAACGGATGAAAGGAAGGAAGGAAGGAAGGAAGGAAGGAAGGAATGAATGACCACACGATGAATGTATGAATGAACAAATAAACGGACGAACGACCGAAGGAACGACCAAACAAATGAATGTCTGCCATGCTAAGCGGAGAAGTGCCAAGTCCAGTCCAAGTGGTGCTAATCTTGAGTATGAGGTGAGGTGGGGTGACACTTCCTAATTGCCATGAAGTGGTATATTTGCTTGACTTTGAGTTTACAGAAATTACCAACCGTTAGACATCATTAGACTACCCGATTCACCACGCTTTACTCAGTACCTTAGTTGTTTTGATCTTCGTACATCAATGGATCAGTCGAAAGCTCTCGGTTTCGGCTTGTCCTCTGTGCTTTGGCGTTGATCGGGTCGGCCATCTGGCTCACCCAATTCCAGACCCCAAAGTCCGCAGAGATTTCTTGGATATTTATCAAGCGTAAGCATATCCAGATTAAAATATCATTGGATGTTCACTGCGGACCTGCAAACAAAAACGATTGTAAATCAGTTAAAGCACAGTAGATTTCTGCCAGCATAACCATCCAAGCAACTCCCCATCCAACGAGCCCAGTGCTTCAACCTTCATCTTGCTAGCTGGTTAGGGTACTGTCCCATTCATGGTTGGAAACTAATACACATATTCAAACCAAACATGTGGTTTCATTTTCCCTTGGTTGAGATCCGTGATTGTTTCCCACTTCGTTTTGGTAATTTACTGGAGGGAATATCCACATCGTTGCCCCGTAAACTCACATTTTCTGGCTCAAATCCCAACTTTTCGTTGCTTTTCATGCCAGCATGACCGAACCCAGCAAGCGATGTCAGGGGACATGATCTCAGCAGAAACTGCGTCAAGCCGACTCGTAGGGCTTCGGTAATCATGGCTCCCAGTGACAGGGTCAGTCCTGTGCCCAGGTACAATAAGTTCCATCATCCAAAGCTATGAACAAATGGGAATGTTGGGATATAATGTGGGCAACCCAATGCCATAAACTAACCTACCACTTGGGGATAGTTTATACCACCCATAGAAATGGTGAAGATTTGGGGATTGTTTATTATTGCGTTGTTTACCACATACATGGGAATATTATGGGAACATAAAACCATTGGGAAATTCGCAGCCTTCTATGAAGTCTTGTCTTGTTCGGATGCCCGGTATGAGTTGCTCACTCTGTGAGTGTCGACTCATTTGGGGCTGGATATGGCAGGATGGAAGGTGATTGAAACTCTTTAATTTTTGGAAGGGCTGGCACTGGTGTACGCAAGGCTGATAGAAGTTAGAAGTTATTAGTGCTTGTACACACGAGTATGCGTCAGGTGATTTATTCCACTGTAATTTCTTGAGAAAATCATTCAGATATGCTGAATGTGTTGCGCCCCAAAGCATTCTGTGCATGATATCTTCACCATGGATGCTGACCAAATGGCTCGGACCAAGTACAGGTTCAGATTAAGGTTATTAACCTAATATTAGGGGGAAACTTCGCACCCTCGTACTAAATTTCCCAAAAAATACCTAAAATTCCTCCAGATGTTTTCATTTGGGAGAAAAAATAAGTGCACAGTCAACCTTTTAGTCTTTTTTGCGCTCACATCAACAAAACATTCCTACAGAGATGGGCGTCAGTTATCATTCATAAATGATTTCCCCGTTAAAAGCTCCATTTAGTTCGGGGATTTCCCAGGCCATGTTACATAATGTTTGGTGACCGGAAGATATATTAAAACATATAAAACGAGGTGAACATGGTGAACTCCCGAAGACTCTCCGTCACCATATGGCGAATTCAAGAGGGCCGTCCTGTCCAATTCCATTGTGGCGTAGTACCAGCCGTGATGAATGTGCCCACCTTGGTTGTCACAGAAACGGTTTGAGATTAACCAAAGACAATGAAGAGTTTTTACCCTTTGGCAAACTAACAGAACTACGGAATAAAATAGGATCTTCCTTTGCAACCTCCATTTTCCAGGGGATTTCCGATAGATATGTTAGTTCCTGGAGAGTGTAACGGTGGCAATTTCAAACTGATATTTATATATATATATATTTATTTAATATTTATTTATAAATATACATATATAGGTATATAGTATATAGTCCATATCCGTATGCGGGCTTTGAATCCATTGTGGGACGATGTTGCCCCAATGCACATTGGCATTTTTGCGTGTCCTCAAATGTACCCTCATACATGTGGAAACTATTTGGGAACGGCGCTGAGAGGCGCCTGGTTGCTTTAAGGGGGCTTGCGTGCACTTCCCAATGTAACTGCGCATGCAGCCTTGCACGCCTGTTTTTTCACTTCTCAAAAACTACCTCAATCATGGAACAATTTGCTCATGGCAGTGAGATTCTCTGAATTATTGCCGGGCAGCTTTGTTCTGCGCCACATCCATTGCCAGACCCTTTGCTACAGTTTCGAAGACTGGGTCACTAAGTCACCAGTGCCCCTTTTTTTTGGGAGCTTCCCTGGGGAGCCAACACCCCATGATCAACATAATTAGCATCATCAGCGTAACATGAACATGAACGTTAACATCTCACCCCAACCCACCCCACCCCATGATCAAAGTAACATCATCAGCGTAACATGAACATGAAAGTTAACATCCCACCCCACCCCACCCCATGATCAACGTAACATCATCAGCGTAACATGAACATGAACGTTAACATCCCAACCCACCCCACCCCACCCCATCCCATCATCAAAGAAAAACACCAAAAGGCAAAAATAACAATAATAAAAAACACCAAAAAACCCCTGCAGCGGCCATGGCAACTATTTGGAAAGCAAGCTATCTATAAAGAGATGTACACATATAGTTGCATACAAATGTACACATATCCATTATACAAATGTATGTGCAAACAAACACACACATATGTATATATATATAAACATATATATATATATTATACGATATATATATATATATATACCTATATGCATGCTGATTTAAGATATGTATACAATATGATAAACCCAACAATAGACCATCCCCAAATCACTAAAAATGGATGGTATAAACCAGCCCCAAATGGTAGGTTTAATTATGGGGTTCCCTTCCACCATAGTGACTTGGGGATGAAATCACCATTTTAGTCTGGATTCATTTGTCTGTACGTAATAGTTGGTAGATGGTTTCTATCATCGTACTTCCATGGAATTTGCAGCGTTTCATAGTTACACAATATGTTACAATTTATAATGTTGGTGTTGCGCAATAGTAAACCACCCCCAAAATCACAACTTTTATGGGTACGAACTAAACATGGGTGGTGTATAAAATGGCTCCAACATTAACCATCATTAACTATCAGTAACCAGCATTAACCATCATTTATCAACCATTATTAACCATCATTTCCCAACATTAATCCCCAAATTTAACTTCCTGCAGACATCTGCAGACGTCGACGCCGAGCATCCGTAATCAGGGACACCTCACGACGCGTCGGCGGAGCCCGAGGTGCGGCAGCCCGAGGAGGCACCCGGTCGCTTGGGGAAAACATCGCAAAATTGTGGAAAAGTGTGATGTCACCATCGAAAATTAGGATTTGACCATCAAACATGGTGAGATTTTCGGATTTTCCCAGATCTTCCAAAAACCAAGTTTAAACTTGGTCGTTACACTAAAGACTTGGTTTTACCTAAAGACCATGGAAAACCGGCGGTATATTCTCATATAATGGCACTATGGAGATCCTGGGGTCGTGGGGATATTGATTAATGATGATTACTGTACTTTCGGCTTAGCCACCAAATCTCATACACTCACAGCCTCAGCAACACCAGCTGTTAGAGCTGATTTCGTCCCTATGATTGGCCCCAACATGGACTTGTGAGCTATGAGCAGGCAACCACTTTTAAATCTGGGAGGCCATGTGCTGGAAGCAAATCCAGACCATCCCAGGAAAACCCGTCTATCTGAAATAAAAAGTGTATCACAAATTTGGGCCCAAGTTTTTGGTGGCTGTTCACGGGTTTTTCACGGTCGTTTCACGGGTTTTTCACGTCGTTTCAGTGTTTTTTCATGGACTTTTCATACTCCAGGCTTGCTTGGATTCTGTATAAATCTCTTGATGAAACCCATCGGGATATTGTACGTAATCCTGACAAGGAATCCTGACATGCTAATAATCCTGCATCTCTACATGGGAGTGAAGCAAAAAGCAACACATGGCAGAGCCCTTGCTCCCAGGCACTTTTGAGGCGCATCTAATAAGAGCAAGTGGCTACTCATTAAATCTATTGGGCCATTGCATCTCAACTTGTGGCACGTTGGGGGCAGGCGCCCTCCTGTCTAGCAGTCTCTGACCCGAGCCATCAATGCAGCTGGGCGACAAACATCGTCCTGATCATGGAGGGGGATTCCAGTCTCAGCATGACCAGGGTCAAGAGCACAAAGATTGGCGTGCCTGTTGCGATGCCAAACAGCCAGACAAAAACATGGGAAATCCCCATGGCCTAAATGGAAGTTTATATGGGAAATCCTCTGCACATGGAGGTTTATAGCTGGGAAACTCATCGAACTTCAATGGGGGATTTGTCCATCGCCGTTTTTAATTACCGGAGGGTACCCTGGGGGAAAGCACTGCAGAAAACGATGGTAAAATTGACATCATAAGACATCAAATACGCGGGTGAAACCAGCCGATTTTGCCTCAATCCAATACAATGACTATTGCTCGTGATTTTGGAGTAGTTTCTTGTTCGTGAGGGATTATAACCGCCGGTTGCTGGTTGGAACTTAGTATATATGTAGATATACGCGGGGACACCAACTTTATCTCATGGAATTTGGTTCAAACTCCCTCCACCTCTCTCCCCAAAAAACATTAATAGTTTCCACCTCGCCATGTAGTAAACCCAATGCCATAAGCCTCCAATTTTGGAGGGTTCCTATTTCTGGTGATGTCCGCCTCCTTCACCTAGGTGTTTTAACATCTTTTCACCATCTCAAAGTGAGGGTTTCTGAAGTCATCATGGGGGATCCCCAAAACCCATGGGCTTCAATACTGGAAAAGGATCTAATTTTGGATGATTTGGGGGTACCAACATTTTTGGAAACTTCCTTAAATATGCATTGAACTCCCCAAATTTGTGACATTGTCTGAACTTAACCCAAACATACCCGGGGATAATGGATGATAATGCGGTAAACTCAGCAGCAACCCCCAAGTTTGGGACGCTTGGAAGCCCACCCATTTCTGGCAAGTCATTAGGTTTACATTGGTTTACCACGTTACATGCTGTACAAGGCCTAGCAATGTACGCCTCGGGTGCTTGGGTTGTGATCAAAGAGCGCATCTAGTGACAGTAGGAACCGTGGCTAGTGGCTAGCAAGTCCAATGGGAATCTTGATGATGTGTAAATCTCTACTGGATTGATGACCATCCCCCAAGAACTAACCAATTTACCACTGTTTTGACTGTGGCACGTATGGTGCCCCCATAATTATGTTGAAAACATCCTTGGCTGAACACCATTTTCCTTTAAAGCCTGCGATTAAATTTCACTTACGTGTATGTACTGTATGGTCATTTGTCTCAGGCGTTTGGCAGCGTTTCAAGGGCCTGCTTTAAGCATTTGCACCATTCCCACGCCGAAGTGGAGATACGTTGCGTTGCCTTAGTTGTGGGACATGCATGGCATCCCAAGCCTGTCACTGAGGGAAAAACACGACCAAAAAAGGGATTTGGTTGGCATCTTTGGAATTTGGGGCGGGGTAAATTCAATGGCCATTCCAGGAACCCAAATTGGAGGTACGTACCATTTCCAAGGCCTATGTAAGGGCTATCTTGTAAGGGGATATACTCCCAAAATATGGCCTTATATGGTACAGTACCTCCATTTTAGGATCCTGGAATTCCCATTGATAAATGTTTTGACAACAATAACTTTTCTTGGATTTCAACCAGTAGAGAAAGAATGAAAACTACCAATGGTGGGCTGGTCATGCCCTATTTTCATTGCTTCATATCATACGATCCCATGCAGCCGCTCAATCTAACATTGAACAGATATTCCATGATATTCATATCATTGATTCATGGTCATTAATCAGTTATAAGGCCTTTCATGAGCATGAATGGTTAATACATATCTATTTTGCAATACCCAAGTTCGGAATTCATCATCATCATCATCATCATCTCAGAGAAGCTTCGCCACTTTCCTGCAGGATGATCAAGTCCGTGGCTGGGTACAGGCCTGGTTTTTCCAGGTTCATGCCGAAACCTTGAGCTGAGCTATTCACCAGCCACCTCCGGAAAATCTGGAGGACATTTTTGTGATTGAAGCCTGGCCAAAACAAGGACCTTGTCCTTGGACGAGCTCACAGCCACCAATGACCCAGCATCCTCCCTAGTAGGAGGCTGCTGGATGCGATCTTCCTTGGAGTTGCATCTTGGAGCTGAAAGATCACACGTGCTTTTCCAGCTGCAAAGAGGTTCGGTGTGGTGAAGCCGACCCCTCACCAAACCCACTTCGAATGTTCTGCTCCAGATGTCTCCAGCTGAGTCCTGGCATCTATTTTAGGTTCCAGCTGCAGGAACTTTGTTCAGAACATGTCAGCTTTCATCATATTTTACATCTCTGATTCCCCTCATCTGGTAATTTGACGTGTGTCTTTGAAAATCACCGACTTTCAAAAGTAAATCTTCTATACATGGGCATGTTCCGTGGCTATGTGCCAGAGGACACATTTCTTGGTTGATTCCATCTCTGGATAATTCGTTAAATAAAACATAACCCCTATGGATACCCCAAATGGTGCATTTCCCATTGGGAAAAAATAGTCACCTTAAATGAATCCCTGTTTATATGGATAACCAAATGACCCCCCAAACGATGGTTTGCTGGAAAATCCACCAGCTATAGTTCGATGATTTTCCCAGCGAACTAAACCTTCCCGCCTAGTTCGGGATTTCCCAATTCATATTCTAATTGTCTTATCCCATTGTCATCCCATTCTTGTCCCATTGTTGTCCCTATTATTGTGAACCCAGGATTAATACAATCAATACCGGCGGGTAAAATATGGTAAAATGATTACCTGAATCGTTTGAGATGGTGTTTTATTACTGAATCGTTCATAAAACACCATATTAAACCCGATTGGTGGTATACCTACCCCTCTGAAAAATATGAAAGTCAGTTGGGATGATTATTCCCAACATATGGAAAGTCATAAAAAATCATGTTCCAAACTACCAACCAGAGTATATGTAACCATAAAATCACCATGTTTCATGCTTCAACCCGTCCGTTTAACCAGAAACCATTCAGACCCCGGGAATTTCCCGGTGGTCTTTGCTGCGCGTTGGTTTCCGAGGCCCAGGCCCAAGGCTAAGGTTCCAGCCTGGCGATGGCATTTTTGAGCATGAAACGTGAACAAATGGTGGCCCATGGTGTTGTTGTTGTTGTTGTTGTTGTTGTTCAAAACCATACATGTATATAATATATATATATATATACAGCAACATGGTGATTGTATAAATAGGGATGCGATTGCGCTTGCCTAGTGGTGATTTAATCGGCAGCATTTGTGATGAAATTGTGGTTTAATGGAATCTTCATTGGATATTAACGGCGGGAAATCGTCCAACAATAACATTGAGGATATACCTGCAGGATATATAGTGGGATCAACTCATACAAAATGGGAATCACCCCCCCAATCAACCCCCCTATGCTCCATTTATGGAGCATTTACTTGCAATTGCCAAACAAATAAGCCAATGAAATCAATGATGAAAATACAATACATTGAACATATGGGACCTGTTGGGGAAAGAATCGCTAACCAATCCGTCACAATAAATGTAGCATTACACAGATTAGGTACACAATCATCAAAGCAACACTTGGTGAAATCCAAACATTACGCTCATTATGCATAGTCATTAGCGGTCATGTAAGCAGTCACGGATGATTTTCCCATTCAAATGCCAAGTTATAGTGGGTTTCCCATTGCCATGCTTGACTTGGCTTAGATCCCTTGTGGATTCTTTCCAAATAGTGAATGTCCCATGAGAAAATAAAACATAATAAAACATCATCGATTCAGCAAAACGAGGATACTGGTTACTGATGGTTATCTACTGGTTCCCGCACAAGCTAACGTTCGCCCAAGATGACATAATAAATATCATTTTTCACGGTTTTTATCGTGGTTCAAACCCCCTTGCAGGGATGGACAGTACGCTAGGTGTGGCCCCTTGCCACGCGTACGGCACAAAATTCGCTTCATGGCTCGTTTTACAATAATTTGCGGCAACAACCCTTCGCAGACTTCATGGGGGTCCGTGAAAAAGAAGGGCCGTTTCATGCGAGAAATTGCAGGCTCCGGGCAAACGTCTGGTTCTGTGCGTAATGGTTGTCTAACGGTTAACAACCCTGCTGATAACTTCTGTTTAGATATAGATATTCATCTATTCAAATTCATCAGCAACCATTAGATATTGTTAACCATTAAATAGCCATTAGATAACCATTAGATAACCATTAGATAAGCATTGGATAAGCATTAGATAACCATTAGATACTCATTAGATCAGCATTAGATAATCATTAGATAACCATTAGATAACCATTGGATAACCATGAGGTAACCATGGGATAACCATGAGATAACCATTAGATAACCATTAGATAACCATTAGATAGCCATTCGATAACCATTAACCATTAGACAACCTTTAGACAACCTTGCGATAACCATGCGATAACCATGAGATAACCATTAAATAATTAACCATTAGATAACCATGAAATAACAAGGCGATAACTAACCACAAGAGAACCACGAGATAACCAGGACATAACCACGATATAACCACGAGATAACCATATACCACCATATAACCATGAGGTAACCATGAGATAACCATGAGGTAACCATGCGATAACCACGAGATAACCATGAGATAACCCTGAGATAACCAAGGGATAACCATGAGATAACCATGAGATAACCATGACATAGCATGAGATAAGTATGAGATAACCATGAGATAACCATGAGGTAACAATGAGATAACCACGACATAACCATGAAATAACCATGGGATAACCATGAGATAACCATAAGATAACCACAAGATAACCATTAGATAACCGTAGGATAACCATTAGATAACCATTAGATAACCATAAGATAACCATAAGATAACCATTAGATAACCATTAGATGACCATTAGATAAACTTCAGATGACCATTAGATTACTATTAGATAACCATTAGATAACCATTAGATAAGCATTAGATCACCATTAGATAACCATTAGATAACCATTAGTTAACCATTAGATAACCATTACAAAGTTTGATGGAGCCAATCTTTTCATCAACCATTTGATACGCTCCGCGGAACAGTACGGTCCTGCCTGGCAGAGCGCCACAGGAACCTCGGATTTCGTTGAAACGTAGCCATGGGAAACCACCATTAAAACAACAGGTAAATCATCCTGTTTATCATCTATAACTCATTGAATAACCAGAGGGAAAAAAACATATATATATATTATGGTGGTTTCCGTAAATGGGGGTACCCGACAATAGATTGTTTATAATGGAAAATCCTGTTAAAATGGGTGATTTGGGGGTACCCCTATTTTAGGATGCCTCCATATGTATATATATATATGTGTATTATATTATATAATATATATATAAATATAATATATTATATTTATTAAATATAAAAATAAATAAATATATATATATATGTGCGTTTCTATGCGTGTATAATCATGTAATATATTATTGCTGATCTGCATGTGTGTGTTGTTCCAATATGCATATGCATATGCATATGCATATGCATGGATGGATGGATGGATGGACGTATGTACGTACGTATGCATGCATGCATGTATGTATGTATTTCTAGAATGGATGGACGTATACGTATGTTCTTGCGACATGTTCCTAGACACCCGTGTTTAAGAGGGATGGGTGATGGCTATGCCCCTCCTTGGGAGCCGAGTGCCCAGCGCGCTGGTACGAATATACCCTAGGAAAACGTTCACTTTTGGCGGAAGTTTACGAAGATTAAACAATCGACAAGTGAAGCGAACTTGGGAAATTCACCAAAGCACCAACAGAAAAATTGAAAGGATCCTTTTTTTTTGGTAGTTTCACCCGATTAAACCTCACCATCCATTGGCATCTTGGAGAACCTGCAGTCTAACCATCCCCAAAAAAAGGGAAAACCGTTTGGGACCTTCTGCCGAACACTTTCCCTGGGGAATGAATGCTTGGCCAAGCAGCCACGTGGTATAAATAATCATTCCCTCGCAAATACGACAACGCTTCGGTCCTGAAGACGCATCGAGTCACACCATTGGGATTCATCCCAAGATACATGGAGAGCGACTGGTTGGTGAAATCGTACCAATCAAACAAAATGATGTTTGTATATGTTTGTCATCTCATTCCCCGGGGCAGGAAAATGATAAGAACCTGAAGCCATCCATTTGAGAAACATCCAGTCACCATGTCTACACTCCATGGTCATCATGATGCCACATCAAGGAAGACATTCATACACTTGAGGTGATGATCGTCATGGATTCCATGGATGTGCATCCCAGTTGGCATTTGGTTCTCTCACCATCTTCGCGATCCCAACCCTGGTTTGTTATGGTGTTTACTCTGTTGAAACATGTGAAAACACCATTAAACATCATTCAAAACTATGTTTCAAACCCCGACCTCCCGTGTCTTTTTCTTCAGCGTGCTCGCCATTTTCTCCCCGAATGATGGGAACAGTGAAACCGGAACCCCCATTTTGAAGCAAAGTGGAAAACCGTACGTCTCTCCTGTGTTGCATTTCCCCATTACTCTATGGTAATTAGCTCCATGGCTTTCTGGAAGTCCGTGATTTCATTCGATGATTTTCCCAGCGAACAAAAATTCCATTTAGTTCGGATTTTCTGTCTGCTAAAAAAACTCCACCTATAAGGGATTTCATGTTGATATTCTATTTGATTGTCCCATTAAAATCTCAGCATTATCCTTATTAAAACACATAACACACATTAGAATCCCATAAAATCTCTGTTGATGGTTACATCCCCATGAAATCACCATAACACACCATTTTTAAAACCTTGAAACCACCATTTTCCAGTCCATTTTCACCATAAAAACCACCATTTTGGATGGTTCAAATCCCATGAAATCAGCCACGATCCCATGGCCTCATCGATGCCAGGTTCAAGCGGACGCTAAGGTGCGCCGTGCTGGCGGAGGCCAAGGTACCTGACGGCGCGAGGTGGTACTGTTCGTCAACTATATATATATATATAAAATCCCTAGCGTTTTGGCAGGGGGGGACCTCCCCAAAATGTAACTTACATTTTTGAAGGTAAAACCTAGGATAAGGGGGTAGGGATTATATATATATATATATTATACTGTACATACCTGGTATATATATATACTGTATAGATCTATAGTATATATAATTTACACAGATCTATGGTGGTAGTAGTACTATCCACTTTATGTATATATATCTGGGTACTATCAAATGGATCGTTTTCTTTTGGCTATCACATCAAATGGTACTGCCCCCATATATCTGGGTAAATGATCAAATTTCACTAACCTGAATAGTTTAAGGCCTCACATCGGGATGATTTCCCCTACTAATCATGATTCCAGTGAGGTCGGAATGAGGTCGTCATAATTTGCCCATATATATATACATATCTTTAATGGGACTTTATAGTGATTCAATGGGATATTAATGGGATTTACCCTCCGGTAAACTAACATGGCTATTGAAAACTGATGAAGATGGCCAATTTATAGTTGTTTTACCTACTAAAAGTGGTGATGTTCCATAATTAGTCATGTTAGCTACCAGAGAATATATATATATATTCATGATATCAAAACAAATATGATTCTGGAAATGTATATCATATCTGTAAGTATGTATTAAAAAATATAAATAAGTGTATAAATATATTTTGATATCGATGCATGTATGTCTAGTATAGAAACATACCATAAATACCACCCACACACAATTGTTATGGTGGATATGAATATTTGATAACCTAGCATTTATTTGGAGTGGAAGTGTGGGATATGAATATGCAATCTTGCTGTACTCATATCAAATATCTCGGCAATAATTTTTGGTGGTGGCAAAAATAGATCTCTCTCTCTCTGTGTTTCTGGGGGGATACGTGGGATATCAACTTGCAAGGTATCCCATTGTACCTGAAAATTGGATACCCCCCCAAGTTGCATCCTTTCGTGGGGAACATATGATGCACCAGAGGATTTGGAGTTTACTATGGTTGCCGGGATTGCAGCCAACAATGAGGAAAGTAGCCAATCCACAGGGTCAAACATCGCAAAGACGGACTGAGCCATGGTCCTACTCTCGACAGTCTGAACTTGTCTGAACAGTGACCCGCCCGCAAATCTGATGCATCCATAAACAAGAAGAGCAGGGTTTGTTTGGTTTCATGGGTAGCTTAGACACTCCGTATGACATTAGTTGTTTTTCTCTCCCATCAAAATCTTGTGGAACGAATACTAAACTACCACTGCCTCGCGCAGGTTTTTGCGGCGAAGGCCTAGGACTTCCATCCCCTATTGCTGTAGTGCACGTCAGGAACTGCCATTCGCAAGGCCCCCAACTGGGGCCTTCACATTGAAGAATCCTTGTTTCAATGGCAATGTCAACCAGCAAATTCCCAGGGATGGTTTAGTTAGAGCTTTCCATTTGAGATTTTAGTGGCAAATGATATGCTGAAGCATACCTGGTTCACCAGTTCCCAACTGGGATGGTAAAATGCCAACCCCTTCGGGGTTTTCTTGCCGCAGCCTCCGGCCGAACCCCCTTGGATTCGGCCCAGTCAGTCGATGTCAGTCGCATCAGGAAGAAAGCAATGCAGTGCTGCCTCGGCCCGGGACAACTTCTGGCCGGATAGTCCCGGTAATCCAGCCATTTATTTCCATTTTTTATAGGGATTAAACCAACAAAAACATGATGGTATAATCAACAGGATATAATTGACAACTGCTTGGAGGTTTCAAGCCTGAAAAATAAATGCTCGTGAATTGAGATTGTCATCCGTTTTGTAGGGTTGAAAGGTAAACACATGTCTGAAACCACCCCACAGCCGATCTGTCTATCCGCAAATCTTGAGATTTCACCAGTCAACATGGGGATTCCAAACGACATGACGCAACATGACTATTGCACTGTAAAAATCATTGAAGTCAATTGACAGCCTGAAAATTGAATGGTTTAGTCATAAAATGTCATAAGCACAACCAACTTTGTGGGCACCGCTGGTACCTCAAGTAATAAAATGAATTGAACATGGCTTGAATGGTTGAAGGGAACAACGGACTGGGACTCCGGGACTTGGTGATCCGTGCCGCCGGCGAAATGTGAAAATCCGATCCGAATCCCGTTCCCCTGATTGACTTCATCTCGAATATCTCAATTTTAGACCCTAAACACACACACATATATATATAGATATAGATATACACACACACATATATATATAATGATTCTAGATGGATGATTTTAGATGAAATTTATGAGAAGGGACCGAAACGAAGGTTCACAAAGGTGGTCATGATGCAAAAGTTATCGCTATATCTAGTTTGCTATATCGCTATATCTAGTTTGCTATATCGCTTTACATGGAATCACGTTATTGCTTTAAGTAGTTCACCAGAACCTCTCATGTGAATGTTTCTGGATGGGCCTTTTAGGTCTTTTCTCATATGGTTTCACCAACACCATTTAACTATAGGGTTTCTACGAGATATTCAGACCATGATTTGGGTGATTTGGGAGGGGGTCATGGCATTCCTACTCGGTCTACGGTGTCCATGTTGCTGTCGTTGTTGTCCATCTTGCCCGGTGTCCACGTACAAGTCGCCAAAGCCGCTAGGCCGATCGCTAACCTACTCATTGGAAGCATGTTTTTCCATGCTCTTGGGATGATTCCTGAAGTTACCCTCTGGTAATTTAAATAACAGTTTGCTATGGTATATAATCCCACCCCCCAATATTAAACACCCCCTTAGAAACCAGGGTTTAGTAGGGAATTTCCACATAATTGGGACCATTTCGCAGGTGTTTAATATTAGGGGGGTGGGATTAGTATAGATAACCCATTTAGTTCGATGATTTACCTCTTAAAAAATTGCCAAAGGGCAATTGGTAAAACATGCTGGCAACTAGCTGATAACCGACTAAATCAAGCATCTATAGAAAGTGATACATGGCTTTTAGCCCAGAAATCCAATAATTAGGAACCCTTTGCCTACAAGTGCTTGATTGCAAGGCAAGAGCAACTTGTGACCATCACATGAAAACCACCAGTTTGTTCGTATCAGCAGGTCACTCTCCACGAATCAATGCCAGGCTTGGTCAAACATCCAACCACGATGCCAGGGCATGGCTTCAAATTAAAGACTTAGGGCCTAGGGGACATAGCTTAGTCGATATCTTTTGTACCAATTCTTGAGGTACCCAGTTCTCACCTCCATTTGATCATTTGGCTGTCCCTTTTTCCTTCAAAATCTCAGGTCGGACATTGCCATTCGCACCTTGCAGGCCAATGCTCAGTTGCCATGTGCACTGCCACGGAGGCCAGGAGGTAGACGAAGGCCAGCAGCAGCCTGAGGAGCCAAAGTTGGCCTGATGAAACCCCGCATTTTGATCATTAATGTCTTATTAATTACTGAATAGTATTACTGATATGTCTGTTCTAGAATACGAATATCTAGATAAGATTATAATATGTATCATTAATATCTAATAAGTTCCAATGTCTATATATATTATCATGAATCTATTACTGAGATGTATCTCTTACTGAGATGTATGTTCTGAACAGGACATCTACTTAGATGGGCCATGGAGTTAGTGTAATTCGCGGTTTATAACCTGGTTACTAACCAGGATTGGCTGCTATATAGATAACGCCTATTTATTCGTCAACTATTGACATCCTGGTGGAAAATATGTTGTGGAAGAAAAAGAAATAAACATACCTATATATAGATATATATATATATATATGTATACACATGTAAATAGATAGATAGGTAGATAGATAGATAAATAAACAAATAGATACACTGGTATGCATATACACAGGTACTAACACCATGCGCACACACACACGCACACACGTGTCATGTATATATGTATACCAACATATATATATACACACATATATGTATGTATTATGTGCGTATATGTGTACACAAACATACACACACATATATATATATAATATAGATATATATACATAAATAGATACAGAT